AAAATTCTCCCTCACCACCCTGAGACGGGGACGGGCCCAGCCTGTCAATCACTCTCAGACTCCGCCCTCTTTCTCCATCAACCAATCAGACAAAGCCGGGCGTGAGGGCGTGTCCTAAGAATGATTGACAGTAAGACCTCCCCTCCGTCCCCATGAATAAGGTCATGACGACCTGTCAATCACGCATGGATCCCGCCCCCTCCTGCTAGCCAATGAGGTTGCGCCGAGCTCGGGGCGGGACTTATCAATCACTGTTTGACCCCGCCCTTCTTCTCTTAGCCAATGAGACCGCACCAAGTACGGGGCGTGACCTATCAATCCCCTTTTGACCACGCCCACTCACCGTATCACCCAATGAAACCGCACGGAGAGCAGGGCGGGACCTATCACTCACACGATGACCACGCCCAGCTCCCTTTCTTAACCAATCAGCCGCCGCCGCTCGCGGGGTGTGGCTGCTCCTTCTCCCTCCGCTTCCGCCGCCGCCGCCGCGGCCGCGCCGTGGCCCCCGAGCCGCGCTGAGCCCCGGCCTCGCCGCTCAGCCCCGGCCATGGCGGCTCCGCTCTCCTAGCCGTGGCCGCCATGCCCAGCGGAGCCGCCGAGGCCGGCGAGGCCGCCGAGCCGCCGCTGCTGCTGCTCCAGCAGCGCCTACAAAGGTTCGGCCTCCGCCAACCCGGCGCGCTGGAGCCGCCCGGGAAGGAGCAGGAGGAGGACGGCGGAGAGGCGGAGCTGAGGGAGGATGAGGGCGAGGAGGACGAAGGCGATGCGGCCGCGTTGTTGCTCCCCTCGCCGCTCTTGCCGGCTCTGCTGCCGCTCGATGCTGCTGAGGGGGCGGCCGGGGCGCGGGGGATGATGGCGGCGGCGCTGTCCCACGCTTACGGCGGGGCTCCGGCCGTGGGCGGCGAGCAAACGGCGCTGCTCCGCAGGAAGAGCGTCAACACCACCGAGTGCGTGCCCGTGCCCAGCTCCGAGCATGTGGCCGAGATCGTGGGGCGCCAGGGTGAGTGAGGGGACGGCACGGGTGGGATCCGAGCACGGCGGCCGGAGCGGGGGCTCTCCCCTCACGGCCCGGGTGGGATCCTCATCCTCGCCCCCTGAGGGTTCTGAACCCTTTCTCCCCTCACAGCCCGGGTGGGAGCCTCATTTCACCCCCTGAGGGTTCTGAACCCTTTCTCCCCTCACAGCCCGGGTGGGAGCCTCATTTCACCCCCTGAGGGTTCTGAACCCCTTCTCCTCTTCCCGCCCAGTTTGGGGACCCTCCTGTCCCCTCACGGCCCGGGTGGGATCCTCATCCTCGCCCCCTGAGGGTCCTGAATCCCTTCTCCCCTCGCAGCCCGGGTGGGAGCCTCATTTCACCCCCTGAGGGTCGGGACCCCTTTCTCCTCCTCTCCCCGTTTTGGGGACTCCCTTCTCCTCTTCCCCCCATCCTGGGGACCATCCTAACCCCTCACACTCCGGGTCTGGACCCTCATTTCACCCCCTGAGGGTCCTGAACCCCTTCTCTCCTCACAACCCGGTTCAGGACCCTCATTTCCCCCCGTTGAGGGTCCTGAACCTCTTCTCCACTTCCCCTCATCCTGGGGACCCCTCCTGTCCCCTCACACTCCAGGTCTGGACCCTCATTTCACCCCCTGAGGGTTCTGAACCCCTTCTCCTCTTTCCCGCCAGTTTGGGGACCCTCCTGTCCCCTCACGGCCCGGGTGGGATCCTCATCCTCGCCCCCTGAAGGTCCGGACCCCCTTCTTCTCTTCCCCCCATCCTGGGGACCCTCCTGTCCCCTCACACTCCAGCTCTGGACCTTCATCCTCATCCCCCGAGGGTCGGGACCCCTTTCTCCTTCACCCCCCATTTTAGGGACCCTCTTCTCCTCTTCCCTCCATCCTGGGGACCATCCTAACCCCTCACACTCCAGTTCTGGACCTTCATCTTCACCCCGGAGGGTCCTGAACCCCTTCTCCCCTCACAGCCCGGGTGGGAGCCTCATCCTCGCCCTCTGAGGGTCGGGATTCTCTTCTCCTCTTCCCCCCATCCTGGGGACCATCCTGTCCCCTCACACTCCAGGTTTGCACCCTCATTTCACCCCCTGAGGGTCCTGAACCCCTTCTCCTCCTTCCTGCCATTTTGGGGACCCTCCTGTCTGTCCTACCAGAGTTACCATTTTAGTAGCCCCTAAACTCTGCCTGTCTGCTCCTAAATTCAGCCTGTCTGGCCCTAAACCTGATTTTTCTGCTCCTAAATTCAGCCTGTCTGGCCCTAAACCCAGCCCTTCTGCCCTCAATCCCAGCCTTTCTGCCCCTAAACCTGTTTTTTCTGCCCCTCAATCCCAGCCTTTCTGCCCCTAATTCTGATTTTTCTGCCCCTAAACCCAGCCTGCCTGCCTCTAATCCTGGCCTTTCTGCTCCTAAACTCAGCCTTTCTGCCCCCTAACCTGGCCTTTCTGTATTAATCCCAGTTTTTCTGCCCCTAAACTCAGCCTGACTGCCCCTAAACTCAATTTTTCTGCTTCTAAACCCCGCCTTTCTGCCCCTAATCCCAGTTTTTCTGTACCTAAACTCATCTTTTCTGCCCCTAAACCCGACCTATTTTCCCCCAAATCTGGTCTGTCTGCCCCTAAACCCGGCCTTTGGGGCAGAAAAGCCAGGATTAGGGGCATAAGAGATGAGTTTAGGGGCAAATAGACCGGGTTTAGGAGCAGAAAGACCAGGATTAGGGGCAGACAGGCCGAGTCTAGTGGCAAAAAAACTGAGTTTAGGGACAGACAGGGTGGGTTTGGGGGCAGAAAAATCGGGATTAGGGCCAGAAAAGCTCAGTTTAGGGGCAGAAAGGCCAGGATTAGGGACAGAAAGGCAGGGTTTAGGGGCAGAAAAATCATGTTTAGGGGCAGAAAGGCCAGGATTAGGGACAGAAAGGCTGGGTTTAGGGGCAGAAAAACTGAGTTTAGGGGCAGAAAGGCCAGGATCAGGGACGGAAAAGATGAGTTTGGGGCAGAAAAGCTGAGTTCAGGGGCAGAAAGGCTGGGATTAGAAGCAGAAAAATTTGGTTTAGGGAAAGACAGGCTGAGATTAGGGGGGAAAGGCTGAGTTTAGGGGCAGAAAAACCAGGTTTAGGGGCAGGCAGGCCAGGTTTAGGAGCAGAAAGGCTGGGTTTAGGGGGAGACAGGCCAGAATTTGGGGTAAAACCGTGTTTAGGGGCAGAAAAACCAGGATTAGTGGCAGAAAACCTGGGGTTAGTGGCAAAAAAAACGGGATTAGGGGTAGAAAAACTGGGATTAGGGGCAGAAAAAATGAGTTTTGGGGCAGAAAAGCCGGGTTTAGGGGCACAAAAATTGGGATTAGGGAAAATCCTGCCAAATTTAGGCTCTTGCAATTCAAAATTTAGAAGGACTAAGTTAATTCAATAGCTGAACAAATTAAAAATGTAATTAATCAATTGATTAAAGTAGCTAATCAATCAATAAATAGATAAAGAGGGGTCCCTTGGACATTCCCAGCGTGGGTGGGAATTATCCCGGAGGTGGAAATTCGGGATTCCCCGGAGGTGGAAATGTCCAGGGACAGGTGGGCACGGATGGACACGGGGACAGATGGACACAGGGACACGGATGGACACGGGGACACGGATGGACACAGGGACAGGTGGACACAGGGACAGATGGACACAGGGACACGGATGGACACAGGGACACGGATGGACACGGGGACAGAGATGGACACAGGGACAC